GCAGTTTTGTGGGGAAGATTTCAGAAGTGGTTTGCCATTGCCTGCTTCCTAGAGCTGAGATACGGTAGAATGGCTGGCCCAAGATCATCCAGATGGATTTATACTTAAGGTGGATCTAGAACTCACTATCTCCTGGTTTCTAGCTTGATGCCTTAACCACTACAAACCAGTTCTCAAGGCATTGTTACTGTTGTCAAAAAGACTTATTCTTTCAAGTGTTAAAAACAGTGCCTCTTATTCATGACAAAGCTTCTGTAAATTCCAGCAAGGATCTTATTTCAGGAATGTTAATTGTCTTTCTTATTTTCTATCGCAATAGTTGCTTTTCACTTAGCAATATCCACCCAGCATCTCTCTATTCCTTACAGGTAGTCCTTGACCTACGATCAATTACTGAGCGAGAAAGGTGTTAAATGAGTCTTGACCCCTTTTACGACCTTTCTTGCCATAGTTGTTAAGTGAATCACTGCAGTTCGGTCCTCAAGAAAATCTGGCTTGCTCCATTACTTGCTTGTCGAGAGCCAGCTGGGAAGGTTACAAATGATGATCACATGACTCCAGGACAGTGCAATTATTATAAACACAAGCTAGTTGCCAAGCATCTGAATTTTGATCATATGCCCATGGGGATGCTGCAATGGTTGTAAGTATAAAAATTGCATAAGTTACTTTTTTCAGTGTTGCTGTAACTTCAAACAGTCACTGAATGAATCATTGTAAGTTGAGGACTTGGTGTAATTATTTTCTAACAAAGTTACTATTGTTTATTATTTTCCTCCCAACTAGCCCTCCTCAATCATTCTCTCTATTGTCTTCTGCTACTTTTGATTTTTTTTTTCCCAGTCTGGGAAGATCATATAAAGAAAATTGCCTTTACTTCCTTCTCTTCACCCCGATCCTGCCACACCCTACTCTTCAGTTCCTTACCCTCTTCCTATTCTTTAAGTGCTGATAGTTTTCCGGCCTCATTGAAGGACACCCTTCCTCATTTTTGTTGACTCTCCTTGAGTCCCATTTGTGCTCAAATTCCAGCTTCTATCTTTGTACATGAGAGAGCTTGTCTTTTTCATTTATCATCTAACGGCCTTGTTGATCTACATCACTTAGAATTTTGCATAGGCTACTCAATTGAAATAGTTCTTTCTTTAATGCTGAATGACATTTTGGGGACCAAGTCCAATGACTTCCACTCACATTAGTTCTTTTGGATCTGAGAGATGTACTGGAGGCAGTTGGCTTTTAAATCTTTGGGAATAATTGGTGATGCTGTTTTTGAATCCTTGGAATATTTTTCTTTGCCTTCTTGGGTTTTTAATTTCAGTATTATATGGTCAATTTCAGTCCTGGGAATTTCACCTTAGAGTGGATGTCACCGAGAAATCAATCTTTAGTCCTAGTTTACTTACCATTTTTATCCCTTCCTTGTGTAAAAAGGAAAGGACTATGATTCAATCAGGGCTTCCATTATCCTGGATAATGTTCAAATTTAACCTCTTATCGACTTTTAGCTTTAAAAAAGGAGAAAAATGAACTTGTGTTTATAGGTTTGAGTATCAGAAAGGATAGCTTATGGAAAGAAGGAAATTATGATCTAAACTTAAACAAAGAGGGTAACATGTAAATGCATTTATAATCACTGTCAAAAAGATCAGAAGCCACTTCTTTGTTATCTTCTTTTTTATTTTTATTTTTTCTTTCTTTTTCTTTTATTTTCTTTTTTTACTTATTCACTATTCTTCCTTATTTTCTTTGTTTCTTTTCCAATATACGTATTGTTTTTGTCTTGTTAAAATATTCTTCAGTAAAAGTTCAGTGGTTAGAATGTAGTATTGCAGACCGATTCTGTCCACTGCCAGGATTTCGATCCTGACTGGTTCAGGGTTGGCTCAGCCTTCCATCATTCCAAGCTCAGCAAAATGAGGACCCAGTTTGTTGGGGGCAATATGCTGACTTTGTAAACCACTTAGAAAGTGCTGCAAAGCACTATGAAGCAGTATATAAGTCTATTGCTATTGCTATTAATACCTTTCTCCATCCTCTGATTTTAGTCTGGAATAATGTCATTCGGGTGGTTCTGGGCCTAGTATGTTCATTACATGTCTGCATAGGGCTCTGCACTGGCTCCCCATTTGAATCAGAGCCCAGTTTAAACTATTGGTGTTTTTGTCTTTACAGTCCTCCAATCACAGACTTGTTCTTCTGAATGTCTCTATACATTTTTTTTTCATTCCTTCTGTTCCTTTCAGCAATACAATCTTCTTTCAATTCCATTTCAGGGTCATGGTCTTCATGTTCTGAGCCTGTAGGGACCTACTTTAATGACTCTGGAATCTATTCCATTTTCTATGGACACTGATAGATTTAATGTGATTGGAACTGCCATATCTATGCTGTAGACCTCCAGGTGACCACAAGATAACTTCATGTGTTAATAATTTTCTGTATCTCTTGACTTCCCTCTATTGGACAGGTGAAAATTAGACAGCTGTGATATGCATGATTTCTAGAGATACCTTTCTCCTGAAGTCCATATATTTGCTATATTGTTTGCATGTCAACCACAGACTAGATCAGTATTGCATCAGAGGGTATGTGATAATAAACTTATCATCTTAAATATCATATTAATGGGCTATTAATGTGAAAGTTCCATTTGGAGCATTTAACTGTTGCATAGTATAGAGTCAAGAACAGATACAGTATCTAGGGAATGACAGAGCTATAAATGTTTCAGATTTGACAATGTTGCTTTATTACTTCATCACTTCTCATTATATTTAGTTAAAATGCTTAATAATAATTCTCTTCCACAGACAGTAAATTTCACCATCAATAACTTACCTGTTCATGTGGCAAAGCTGGTTGGCATATTTTACAACAGTTATGTATGCAAATGATAATGCTATTATTGTGGGGTTTTGATGGGATAAAATGTAAAGATATCACAATTTTGGCTATATTATTTTTCTTTTTGGTGGTATTAATCAGAATGTAGTGCCAAGTAAAAAACTTTGGATATTCTATAGATTTAGAAGACTGGTAAAAATTATGAGATAGAAATATTAAATTGACTACAGCAGTCTCATATAAAGAAAATCTGTATAAAATGTTTTATAGATGGCATATGACACCAATAAGATTAGCGAAAATCTTTAAAAATACTTCAGATAATTGCTGGAAATGCAAACAAAGGCCAGGTACTTACTATCATATCTGGTGAATATGCCCTAAAACATATGGGTTAAGATACATATATGGTTGGAAAAGATGATTAAAAGACAGATATAATTTAAACCAGAACTGTTTTTGTTAGGAATATTAGGATCTAATTATGAGAAGGAAAATGAATACTTAATATTGCATGTATTGACAGCAGTGAGAATAGTATTTGCCCAATGCTAGAAAAATGAAAACTTACCAATGAAAGAGGTCTTAATTAAGAAAATCTTAGAATGTGCAGAAATGGATAGATTGACTTTAGAGATTGAAGAGAAAGAAGATTCAGTTTACTTTAGAACATGGGATAATTTTTACCAATGGTTAGGAAAATGAACTAGTGAGAAATGAATGTGATATGTTATTTTGAATATATATTAGTAAGAAGAATGATATGTATTGACCAACTGATACTGTTTATGATTATCATTTATCACATTTACTACAGCTATTTACCATTATATCAATTATTGTTAACCAAACATATGTACTCGGACAATAGTCTGTTTGCTAAAGATTGAAAATGGTATTGGGGGGTAACCCCAATGTTGATCCCAATCCTGTCCTAATCTTAGTCCTGATCCTAACCCTAACCTAAACCTTAATCCCCATCCCGATCCTATCTTATCCCCAACCCTATAAAACTCAATAAAATCTTTAAAAAAAAGAATGTAATGCCAAGTAAAAAAAATTTTTAAAAAACCCTAAGACCACTTCATACAAAGCAGTTAAAATGGAATAGAATACCATGTAATTAGAATAGAATGGAATGGAATTAGAAAAGAATCATGATGAAAAATATCATTTTCTGATGTAAGAGGTCATGGATGACTGTTTACTCAGTAGGCATTGCACTGTCTATCTTAATAAAGCTATCATATACACATATGGATAACCAGTCCACGGAGAAGCCAACATTTTAATCAAAATACCTTGAGAGATATGCAACCTGCAGAAAAGCCAACCCGCTTTTTTTCATGGTATTTTGGTTAAAAATTTGAAGAACTGTTTATCTATGGATAAATTCATCTGCAAGTATAACTGGAAAATACGGTACATTAAAAATATTGTCATATTCTTGCAAATAAGTCTATCCATGGATAATTGAACCAAATTTCTGGAATATAATATGGGATCTAGAATTCTCAATGTACATTTGAGTGTACAATATACAACATTTTCCTGGTTATTATTTACTTACTTACTTACTTACTTACTTACTTACTTACTTACTTATTTAATCCAGATCATATATGTTATATATGACTTTTCCCCCAAGGGTTTGATCCAGCTGAAGAAAAGCACCTTTGGATGATTTTATGATTGTGTTTTGTTCCATTTTATATTTTACATATTGGGTATGTTTTAAATATTAGGTGGGATTTCTTTGCTTTATTGCAAATGTTTGATGCATGGTGCCTAAAATCATACTGTTTTAGTTGGGTAGTCCTACCAATCAGACATACAGATGATGATAGATAGATAGATAGATAGATAGATAGATAGATAGATAGATAGATAGATAGATAGATAGATAGATAGGGTTTTCACATTCTTAACCTGAGAAACAATTAGTTCAAACAGGTGTGCCTGTCAGCATTGCAAAAGAAAGGTATATGCTAATCATTTTAATATGAATTTAATTTCTGTAGGCTAATAAGACTGATATTATCTTATGTCTAACAACCTTGAGGATTATCTGATGGGCAGGGAGTATTTGGGTTTATATTTGGGGCAACCGACATTTTAGCTATTACTGAAACTCCTTAATCATTTTTATTTAGTAGATAGTAAAAAGAATAAATTGCCTTTTGTAATTATTTTCACAGAGGTGGTTCAACTCATACTCCCCGAAGAGCAGAAAGTCAGCATTACCACAGTAACTGTTGGACTAAGCACTGTATTGACTTGTGCTATACACGGACCTCTGAGGCCTCCAATCATCTGGAAACGCAATGGGATTATGTTGAACTTCTTGGATTTGGAAGATATCAATGTAAGTCTTAAGTCTTCTGTCATAATCATGACTACATTGGAGAAATTAAAGTATGAATTTACATTCTCCCAGGATTCACACATTATTTGAATATAAACTGTATATTCTCCCTCAGGGAAAATACATTCTCAATAGTAAAAATTAGTTTTTGTGGGAAATTTTGATTTTTCAATCAGTTTTAAATGTGGCAGTTTTTATATTTTCAACTTTAGTGGCATACTGTGTAAAAATACAGTATATATCGTGCTTATGTATAATCATGGTTATAGGATGAAAGAAGATTTCCTCAGAATTTTTTGCTACCTTATATATACTAAAAAAAACTCTAAGCATAGGATAAACCAGAAACTAGAAAGAGAGTTCCAGTTTTGAAAAGACAAATACTGCAAAAACCTTTGTTCCCTAATTTTCCCAACACTGAAAATGCTGTATCGGGAAGAGGATGGGAAAAAAGATGTGGTTGGATCTTAACAGAGACATGCTGGGAAAAGCTTTAAATTTATCAGACTCAAACTCATCAAACCAGGGGGTAAAAAAATCAGACCAGCCTTTGTAATGAAAATAAATAACTATAAAAGCCTGGATAGGAATAGAAAACAAGTATGTATCATTGGGATAGGTAAGATTATCTTGTGAAATGCTCCCAGTTGGTATTCTGTTTGGACAATAAGTTTTTGATAAAGTAAGAAGAACAAAAACACAGTTGATTCAGTTAAATGCAGCTTATCTTCCATAAAACAGATGTTTTACGTTGTTTAAAATAGCTGTTCTTTTGGATAAGGAAAATACATGTTCAAATAGTGTGTGTATGGTATGTGTGGGGGACAGAGTATGAGTGTGCATGAGTGTGTGTGTGTGAATTTGTGTGTGTGCATTAGATCTTAAATACTTTTTTGGATGAGCATTCAAATTTTTTGATAAATTAGTTGTTCTTTATTCTCATCAGTTTGTTCCACTGATGAGTATTATATACCCTCCAGAGAAGTCATTTTGTGAACAAGTGACTCTTTCCTTCATTTTCTCCTTGCTTAGAATATGCAAATGGGCCCTGCTTTCAGGCTGTGCTTTAGGAAGGTGTGGGAGATCCAGTCCTGATTCAGATTTAATATGGTGACAATCAGATTTAAAACTTTGCTCAATTTTGATCCAGATTCAGCCATTTCTTCCTGCTGTTTACTAGATCAAATTGTTCTAGTATTCATTTCTTGATGACATCAGCGGTAGGATACATCTGCTTTACTGATTTGTAAAGAGAGGACTTTTAACAGGCTGCTGTAGACCAGTAAGTTCCTTCCATTGACCTCTGTTAACTCTTCTAAATTGGACTAAAAGTCACGTTGGACAATCCAGCAGTTGGAAATAGTGCTTTATTTCTCTTCTGCTAAAGCCCAATTCTGCATTACTCAATGATATATTTAAAGGCATAAGAGGAAACTATGCTTCTTAATACAGTTGAAGTCAGTTAATTACATTGTTTCTATTCCCACCCTTTTAGGATGCCTCAAGCAGCAACTCAATTGCATTTTTCTACTTTGCACAATAAGGCTAGCAATTTAGTTAATTGGAAGCATAACAGGAGATTAATTGTACCTTTTAACTGCAAGAAAATGTCCTTGCTTCTAGCATGATTTAATCACATACAAGTTTAGAGACATTTTTGGACATTTTTTAAACAAGCATACTGTCAACTCTACAAATGAGCATGGCTGCAGCCATTTTTCCTACTCATTTTCGGTTGCCACATAGAATGGGGGGGGGGGTTGCCCAGGTGTTTCTCTAGTCAAACTAATCTTTTGTCCTGTGGGAACCAAGGACATCAGCTACTCCTGAGACTGAAGGCTGGGCATTGCATAAAAAGCCTGCCGAGAAGATGTATTGGGGAACGTAGTTGCTTGCATAGTTCTATACTTTTGTATTGGGGAATTGTTAAGTGTGTTTCCAGACTTGGTTTCACTTTTTTTTTAAATAGTAGACTTGGTTTCACTTTTGATGTGCCGATACTTTGTAACTAATAAACTTGTTCTTTGAGAAATGTGCAAGCTTCGGAGTTCTGCTTTATTTGTCTCTGTTTGTTGGAACCAAGACACATACATTGTGTTTCAATTGAAATAATGTTCTATCAGAATTTAACAGGCAGCTGTCAAATAATATCAAAATAAGAAAAAGGTTGTGGCAGAAAAAATCTAGTATTGTTGGGCCCCACATCCATGTCTGTCCTGAACAGAGATAGACAGGTATGTGACATGCATCAAAATAAATATTGATAACTATGATATTTGGCAATGAAACACCAATTCTAAATGTGAACAAAAATTAAAATTAGGAGATTAATTATTTTTTGGTGGCCTGCTGCTTTTCTGCTCTATTTTGACTGGCAATTAAAATTAATCATTTTTCTCTACTTAATGAGAGACTTATAAGCTGCATAGTAATTTCTGTTATCTACCAAGACCTGAATATTTTCATCACATAACTCTTCTGAAAGTACCATCTGAATGATTCATATAATTAATTCATTTTATCCTTGTCCCTAATATTCAAGGTTGCCTAATTAACAAAATAATATTTAATACTAATGAAACCATAGCTACTTGGGATGCATTTTAAAAGAAAACACTTTTAATCATATATACATTTTATTACACTTACAACTCACATTTTCTCCAACCTTACAGTGTTTAATGCAATGGTTATTCATACTGTTCATTCTTGTGAATATAATAGTGTGCATGAGAATGCATGAGAAACAAAAATGATTTTAAAAATAAATAATGGAAAGCTCTTGTAATTTAATGTGTTTCTCATTTTCCTGAAAGGAAATTTTAAAATACCTTTTAAACATGTATAGTTTACTACGGAAATGTCTAACAGCTAAAGAAGGATGGATCAAATTATTTCAGGTCCATCTCAGTTTCATATGTGTTTATTCATAAATTCATTCTGCATTTTCAACATTTCCTACTCTATAATGAAGGAGCCCTAGTAAAAAATGATGGCTCTCTTGATAATTGAAATCATAAGCTGCATGTTGTTAAATAAGCTATTGTATCTTAAGTCTTGCATCTCTCAGGAGATGGGATAAGATCACTGGAGAGAAGAAATAGTAGAAACTTCAAGGGATAAATGAATCTCATGAAGGGCATTCAGCTCCTTTGAATAGACTTTTCCAGTTTATTTTTAATGTTTCAACTTCAGTTTTTATTTCAAAAGTTTACCACTTGGTTGGCCTTGCCTGCTCCTGGGGCCTATGTTGTCTTCCCTCCCTTCCTATTTACATTTTCCCCATTTTGGATAGCACTGTCGCCTTCGGTTTAAATGGCGAATTACCCTATATCAGGCTGGAGACTTTAAAAGATAGTATAGCAAAACTAGCACCTAGATTGCTAAGAAAGAATTGTATTCACAATTCAGAAATAAATTTCAATCATTCTATATCTCATCTCTTACATATATCTGTCTCATAGGACAATAGAAAATTGGTGGATGATGACCTCCACTTGGCTGCTGTAGAAGAACAAAGCTTTGGTTCCATTGGGGCTTTACAGAATCTCCCTAGTGATCTGCTAAAGGCCTAGCCTGAAAGACACCTATGTAAAAGCCTTCCTTAAAGTAATCTAAACCAGATACTGGGAGAGACTTTTTTGTTTCTTAAAACAGAAAGAAAATGTGACTGTATCACAAGGGCATCTCTATTGGCATTCCATTGAAGAAAATGATATCTAATATTTTCTCTGCTTCAAGAACTAAGCTCCCCTGTTGAAGGAAAGAGTACAGTATATGTTAGGCAGTTACTAAAATGGTGGATAGATATGTACCACATGCAAGTGTCTTATAAAAGAGATGTATAGTTATTTGCAAGAGATGCATTTTACTGTTTGTTCGGCATCAATTGACCACCCAAAAGGACACTTTCCTCTGTTTGCTTATGCTTGATGCTAGGATAAATCATAACCAAACATTTTGTTTTCTTTTCTTTTCACAATAATCAACCAATCTGTCCAATACTCCCTAAGGCAATCTTGATGTGAGAGATAAGTGCCATGTCATCAATATCTATTAGAATTGAGATTTTATATCCATTAAGTAAATGGAAGAGAAGGCTTGTGTAGATCTGGGAATGCATCGTAGAGTTCTCAAAGGTTAGTTGCATTAACAGTCCTATTATCTTGGCCACTGAGCTCACTCTGCTAATTTTTACCACTGAATATCCAGTGTATCAGAGAGATGATGAAGCAGTAATTGCCCAACCCAAAATAGTGTTTCATCCCACAATTTACAGCATTTTCTTACCAACAGGACATGAACTTTCCTCAGGCCAAGTTCCATATGTCAATCTTTTGAGACAGTCCAGACAGAAAATCAGAATCATGGCCAACACTGCTTTTATTGTATGGTTACAGCAATTGAATCTGCTAGTCTGCCTCCCTCTGCCTTTACTTTCCAGAGAACTAGGGAGGGTCCCTTCTGAGATCCCTTTTCCACCCCCATCTCTTCTTTGGACTCAGATTTCTTTCGTCAGACTCCTATTTAAGGTGTGGTTCTATCTCCTGTCTCCCAATCCCATTACTTCATAATAATTTACTTGAGGCTCACAGATCTATGATTACATATGGAGATCTACAAACAGAACCTTATACTGAACAGAATTAAAATATGTTAGTGACGGATGACTGAAACTGGCCTTATAAATGAGTTGTATATTCTGCACCAACATTTCCCTAAAGCCTTCCTGCAGCTGTCTGCAATTGCTCTATGAATTTAGAAATAGCTGGACCAGAAGAAGGCTTATGAAAGTGGGTGCCAATATGCTTTGGCTTAACCTTTGCTTGAAGCCATTGACTGCTATACTTGCTGACAAAAATGAGCTTGATGGGTGGGATCTCTGTTATATTCTGAGTGAAAGGGATTTGGAAGGCCTACAGAGAGATCTGGCCACCTGAAAATACCACATCCTCATAGCAAGATGTGTTTGTATAGTGAGTGATACATGGGGAATTTAC